AATAAGTATAGATGTTCGCCTTGAGAGTTCTCTACACCGAACCCAACAGATTTGAAGTGTGCAATTCCTTTGTCGGTGAAAGTAATCACGATATTGAAAGGCCAAAGTAATTTATATTAGCACATCTATTATTAAAGTTCTGTTTGATGGCCTTATGTTTTACGCAATTGTACCAAAAAACGGCCCTTAGTGTCCAATAATGTACACCCTAAAATAAACTACGAGCAACTGTCATGTCTCTGAGTATTGTGATATTCAAGTACAGTATAACCTCGATAACTTCAAAAAATAATATGTTCCCTTCCCATCAGAGCATAAAACCTCTACGACATAGACCCTTGATAACTTAAAACCTGTACAAATTAAAATTTTTTGTGTTTCCTTTGGACTCTAACTTATCGAGGTTTTATTTTATATCATAAGGTGGCAAACGAGTAAGCGGCCACCTGAATCCGTCAAAATGGCGAAGCGACCGCTGCCCTTATCCGACGGAGGAGGAGACGCACATATAGAGGATATTTCCCTATGCATCTCTCGAGGATACTTCCTATGCATCTCCCCACTTCCCCTTCCCATCCTCTCCTTATGAGAAAAGGGTGGTAAAGAGAAAGGGACTTAATTTAGGCCTCCGGCACCACACTCATCAGACGAAACAAAGAATTGTTTCCATTTCACGCCTGTCTTCTGTGTGGTTGTGGTATTACACCGGACGTGCCGGCCCTGCAGTGCTAAGATGTTAAAGCGGGCACTACCACTGTTATCGAGGTTTACTGTATAATATAAAAAAAACGTTTTGTTATCTGGATATTAAGGCAATAATATTTTAGAGAAGACGCGCGCTTTTAACAAAACTATCGCATAACTGTTGTGCGATTGTCGATTGTTTCTCAGCCAATTCAACTGTTTAGTTACAAAACTAAAAATCGAGTAGAGTGTATTTCAGATAAGGAATCAAAGCGAGACTAAACAGTTATGCGATAGTTTAGTCAAAGCGCTCAGCCAAATAATTTATACGTCACAGTTTTTTTTAATAAGTAAATTCTCAAATAATTAGTGATAACTCAATTATTTCTTGATAGTGTCGACATTCGCTGACGCATGATTCCCGCCATTTCTGACAGTTGACAGGTCATTGAACCACAGATAATATTGTCCTCGTTATTCATATCAAAATATTTATATTTACAATACATTTTGGGTATATACAGTATGTATTTCAGCTTAAACGTATACACGCCGAGTTATTGGTTGCTAAGGGGCACCTCTTAGGATCTGAATTAAGAGTGATTCATGGTTGTAATGTATACATCTTACTTCTAACTTTGAGACTAATATTATAAATGCGAAAGTTTAGATGGATGGATGTTTGTTAAAGCTTGTAGACTAAACGGCTGAACGGTTTTCGATGAAATTTGGTATAAATGTAGAGTATGGTCTGAAAGAACACATAGGCTACTTAGTTTTTTTAATTCCACGCGGACAAAGGAGGACGCGGGCGAAAGCTAGTAATATTATAAATGCGAAAGTTTAGATGGATGGATGTTTGTTAGAGTTTGTAGACTAAACGGCTGAACGGATTTCGATGATTTGGTCTAAATGCAAAGGATAGTCTGGAAGAACACATAGGTTACTTACTTTTGTATTGTTTATTTCCTCGCGAACGGAGTCGCGGGCGAAAGCTAGTGTATAATATACAAGAGAAATACTGATTTTAGAGGTTTCTAATAATGTGAATAAACACATTTTCGTATCAGCATTGAACCCGTGTGAAACCGGCGCGGGACACTAGTAAACATCTATTGACACGGTTGACCTCTCTGATAACATTATCACCAAGTTGAATAAAATCACGTTTGGTACAAATGATCTTGACTTCCGTTACTTCACTATGTGTTAAAGTAATCTCTGTTTACCCCTATATGCTACGGGCGTGAACTTACGGTGCTTATTAACGTTGTAAGCAGGCAGTCGGTAAATAATGTTACGGGGAAAGCGAGCGACGATCCATTAATAAATTTAAAACAGTTTTACATTTAAAGAATCTAGCAATAAAATATAGCCTATATATAAAGCCGGAGGCCTAATTTAAGTCCCTTTCTCTTTACCACGGGAAAGAAAAGTGGATTTGACGGTGGAGGAGAAGCATAGGAAGGGGCAATATCCTCTTTATGTGGGTCTCCTCCTTTGTCGGATAAGGGTACGCAACGCATCTGCAATTACGGATGTCTATGGGCAGCGATCGCTTCATTATTTTGGCGGATTCAGGTGGCCGCTTGCTCGTTTGCCGCCTTATGTTATAAAAAAAAATATCACTTAGTAATAATGTAGCTTCCCAATGGTGAAAGATTTTTGAAATCAGTCCATTAATTTGTTTATTCGTTCCATACAAAAATACAAATCTTTCCTCTTTCTAATGTTATTAGTAGAAATTACATCGACCAATGAGAGACTGCTGTGATGATGTGCGATTGTCGATTTCTTAGCCAATTTAACTGTTTAGCACAACTAAAAATCGAGTATTGCTTCCATAAGCTCATAGGAATCAAAGCGAGACTTAAACGTTGTGCGATAGTTTAATCGTAGGTGTGCGCGCGCTTTAATAAAACAGTGGTTAATTATATCAGTAGGGTCCTTCAAATCTTAAATAGCTTGTTAACGATGCATCGGTAAGGCCGCAAGGTCAATAAAGTAAGAGATATAAAGTAATAAAATGAAATGTATTTACATGTAAATGATAACAATGTAAGTAACTAGCTGTCGCCCGCGACTCATTCCGCGTGGAATTAAAAAAAAAAAACAAAAGTGAGTAGCCTATGTGTTCTTCCAGAGTATCCTCTAGATCTATTTTTTTATAATACAAGGTGGCAAACGAGCAAGCGGCCACCTGAATCCTCCGAAATGGAAAGCGACCGCTGCCTATAAACATCCGCAATTACAGATGCGTTTCCTACCCTTAATTGACGGAGGAGGAGACGCACATAAAGAGGACATTTCCCTTTCCTATGCGTCTCCTCCACCGTCAAATCCACTTTTCCTTCCCATCCTTTCCTCTTAAGAAAAGGATGGAAAGGGAAAGAGACTAAAATTAGGCCTCCGGCGCCACACTCATCAGACGAAACAGGGAATTGCTTCCATTTCACGCCTGTCTTCTGTGTGGTCGTGTTACACCGGGCGTGCCGGCCTATTCGTGCTAAGTCGTTTAAGCAGGCACTACCACTGTTAAATTTCGAACAACAGTTCTCGATGAAATCTATTCTAAATTTCATCGAGATCCGTTCAGCATTTTAGGCTGCAAGTCTACAATAACTGACAGCCGACACTCTGTTACATTCAATCCTACTAATATTATAAATGCGAAAGTTTAGATGGATGGATTCGGTTAATGCTCTTTCTATCGTAAACACTTTTGAATTGAAATGTACAAAAAAAGTTTATTCACAGTTTCTTTCAAGATTCAAAGAATGGCAACAATGTTTAAAAAACTTCATGCTTCGCTTAATTTTGAGACGAGTTTTTTTCATAAACTTTAAGGAAATGAGGCTTCGGATACTTAGTTTTTTTTCCGTGAATGTAAAAATTGTCCCATTTTCTGAAACTGAAATAACTGTCTAAAGTATTGTTAAGAAGTACTATGCTCCTATTTTAAACAACTGCATTTTTTTTAACATTAACTAGTAGTTACCCGCGACATCGTTCCCGTGGAAAAACAAAAGACTATGTGTTCTTCCAGAATATCCTCTACATCTATACCAAATTTCAGTCGTTTAAGCTACGAAGTCTAACAAACATCTAAACTTTCGCATTTTTATTAGTATGCTTTTAACTTATAGATTACTGTCCAATTTTAACGTAAGTAATGACCTAGAAATCTCGTTTTGTAATTACTAAAAAAGTGTGTGAGAAAGTGATGTAAATTTAGTTCCCAGACATCTTTTGTACAGCTTCAAAAGCTGTTAACCGGTATTATACATACAGACTTCAATGAGGGTCCACAATGTGCAATGTCCTGTTCTTACAAGGGCTAATAAAACGTAACCTAAGAGAACAAGGTCATATGTCTACCAAAAGATGGCGTTATTAGCATTGATCGCTTTTCTCGATTATTCCCAACCGTCACAGCGCTCTGTCCCCACGTGAGAATAAAAAGTTTCATCCGTCGCACCTTTTAGTTCCACTATCACCAATAAGGTGACAGATGGAACGTTATGAAATGAAAAAATTGTAACCGTCCCGTAATCGCAAAAGGTGGGACGGATGAACCTTTTTATTCTCATCTGTCCTCACGCGGGATTGTAATTTATCTGCGAGTAACATGAGCTATGTACTTTATTATTTTTAATTTCACGCGGACGAAGTCGCTAGCAACAGCTAGTTATCAATAATAATTAATCATATAACATTATCGATCTTTAGTAAAAAGCATTAACTTGTCTTTGTCTTTAAAACTGAAATAAAAATATATATGGGTACTGCGCCATTTTAAATATGACTGCCAACTACTATGTAGCGTGGAAACCAAGATTCATTTAAAATTGAATGTGTATTGTGTGGTTTTTTATGTTTGATATTTTTTATTAAATCAGAAAGAGGAATAGCGTTTTATACACATATGAGTAGTCGACAGTAAGAAGAGATTTATTTATTGCGAGTGGACGTGGTCTAATCCTATTAGAGGCCTTAGCCGATGGAAATGGGACATCCTAATAGAATAATAACCTCCTTACAGCTAATAAAGATTTTATACAGTACCTAAATATTATTTTTTACTTAAATTAGCTTTTAATTTCTTATAACAGACTCTTGGAAAAATGTTTATTAAATTTTCTGTCATTGAAAAATATGACAACGCCATCTATCGGGTTCAAAAATGTTTATTGACAGCCAGATTAAAAACGTTTAGAAAGTTGCAAAAATTCTGTGTTAATTAATGATGAAGAAAATAAAACGCTTAAAAACAACTGACTTACTAAATTTTTAACCTATAACTATTTCTTTATCAGGTCTCCAAAGAAAGGAACGGAAGAATGCGACAAGGAAGCTCTGAAGATTGAAGCGCCTGAAGAAGGGGAAAAAGATGGCGGCGCATTGGAAGCTAAAATGTCGCTACTTAATGGAATCACTGTTATTGTTGGTTCTATTATTGGTAGCGGCATTTTTGTGTCCCCCACTGGAGTACTGAAGCACACAGGATCTGTCAATGCTAGTCTTCTTGTATGGATTGCTTCTGGAATATTCAGTATGGTGAGTGAACAGTTTAAAACATTTTAAAAGTTATTTTTTTATCGATTCACTAGCTGTTCCCGTGCGACTTCATCCGCATGAAATTATGAAAATTTTATTTTATTGTTTACATTTGGCAAATTATCAATTGCAAATGTCAAAATGACATGACATGACAAATTTTGGCAACCTTTCTTTCTCGATGTTGGCAGCAACTTATGGTCTCTTTCCCACATTAGGATTTTTATCCAAAACGTTTACCCCTAAGTTTAATCGCGTGAAAATATATAGTCTAAAGCGTGAAGTAAGTGTAGGGCTTTTCATTAACGAAAGAATTATTCATAAAATGTGCTGTAATTACTAACATCTTAGGCAACAAAGAAATGTGTGTTTACGCTTTATTATAATAGTATAGATTACTGATTATTCTTGATTGGATTAAAAAATAAACAGTTCTGTAATATTTTTTCTCATTTCATATCTTTAATGTCAACCTTTGCCGTTATTAAAAAAACAAATGTCATGGTCATATTCGGCCATTTAGAAATCTCGGTATAGTCTTTGGTCAAGCTCTAGAGAAAGGTTACAGATTCACAAAGTTTACGTGACTGTTATCAGATAATATAAATTAACAATTCATATTTAATAGTCTAATAGTTAACATAAATTATAACTCTATTTTGCTTTGTTAAAAACGATAGGAATCCTTATTTAAATATTAATCAGGAACGATTACTGAACGCAGTAATTATCTAAAACTCGTGACAGTTTATAATGGCGTGGATTGGATCTACACTGCTGGACACTATAAGCGTTTTGTTCTTATATCCAGCATCCTATTAAGCGATTTCTACTGTTAATAATCTTTCCAATTGTTGTTTTTCAATTTAATTTAATTGCAAAGTCATTTATAACGAAAATATTGTCCTAGAGATTAAGCTATCCTTCTATCTATATCTATACTATTATAATAAAGCGTAAACACACACTTCTTTGTTACCTAAAATGTCGGCAATTACAGTATATTTTTGAATAACTCTTTTTTTTAATAAAAATCTATACACTTTCGTCACGCTTTAGGCTATATGTTTTCACGCCATTAAACTTAGGAGTAAATATTTTGGATTAAAATCCTAATGTGGGAAAGAGACCATAAGTTTATGCCAACATCAACGAAACAAGGTTGCTATGGTTTGACATCATGTAATGTCATTTTGACATTTGCAATTAATAATTTAACAAATGTAAACAATAAAATCAAATTTTTATAACTTTATACGGATGAAGTCGCATGGGAACAGCTAGTAAAATATACAAGAGCTTTGTCAAGTCAAGCAAATTGATTAGGTCCCAAGAGTGAAGCATAAATTTTACCCAAGAGCTTATTTTACGACGTCATCAACTGTATTTCGTTCATTAATTTTTCTTGTCCAATCATATTAGATTTTAAAATCCTTATCCGATCTGACTTCGTTTAAAAAATAGCGCGAGCACATCTACCAAACTATCGCACAACTGTTTAGTCACGCATTTATTCCTATATTCTTATATGGAAGTGCGAACACTACTCGTTTTTTTTGTTCTTGAAAATAGTTGAATTGCTTGAGAAACAATCGACAACCGCACAACTGTTGTGTGAGTTTACTTAAAGGTTTTTTTTTATACTATAATGTGGCAAACGAGCAAGTAGCCACCTGAATCCACCGAAATGGAAAGCGACCGCTGCCCATAGACATTCGCAAATGCAGATGCGTTGCCTGCCCTTCATTGACAGAAGAGGAGACGCACATAAAGCGGACATTTCCCCTTCCTATGCGTCTCCTCCACCGTCAAATCCACTTTTCCCTCCCATCCTTTCCTCTTAAGAAAAGGGTGAAAAGAGAAAGGAACTAAAATTAGGCCTCCGGCATCACACTCATCAGACGAAACGCGGAATTGCTTCCACCTCACGCATGTTTTCTGTGTGGTCGTGGTATTGCACCGGGCGAGCCAGCCCTGCAGTGCGAATATGTTAAAGCGGGCACTACCACTGTTAAAGGTATCCGCCCGCTCTAAATAAAACGTTGAGATTAGTATAAGTAAACTTAGATTGTGTAAGAGAAGTATTTAAAAAAGAGTTAATCGAAATATGATAGCTAATAGTATGGAAGAGTCGATACTACGATTCAGAGCGGACGCACATCATCTTCAAAACTTTGGCAATACTGTTGTGCGATTGTCGATTGTTTCCCAATCAATTCAACTGTTCAGTTGCACTAAAAATCGAGTAGTGTGCAAACCTTTATATAAACTCATAGGAATCAAATCGAGATTAATTAGATTCTTAGTCGAAGGTGAATGCGCACTTTTAAGAGACAAACTCCACGAGACAATTACTGATGCAATAATAATGATTGTTCCAACAAATCGTTAGTTTTATTGAAAGTACAGTCAAATGAGTCCAATAATCAACATCTGTTTATTAATCATGTCAATAACAAAAGCAATATCTGGTCACATGGCCTGCGATGTTATTATTTGAGATAAAATAACTGATCTTTGCGCCTTGACCACTAATTATGCAACTTTTACTCGTTTTATCAACAGATAATGAAGATTCCATGTTGCCAAAACAATAAATCAAGTAAACATATTATAGTCTGTTCCAAATTCAAATGTTTTGTAAAAGAATATTACAAATGGTATTCTAAACGACTTTAAGCTAAGTTCACACTTGGATAGTATGCAGGGCGTGGATAGTATGGACTCACTGGCGCCAGCTAGTGTTCACATTATGCCAGTGGAATACCAGTATAGTTATTATACGTTAATTACCAACTGTACTAACCAACTGTGAGTCAGGCAATAACCCATGTTAAAAATCTGTCGTTTAAGATTTTTTTGTAATTTATTTACAATGAAATAAATTCTCACATATTTAATGTTTTACTTACACTGCATAATTAACTTATACCATTAAGTTTAGTACATTTTAACCACGTAGGAAATAATCAATTTAAGTATATATCTCTTGTTTAATTATTAAACCTGTCTACCCCAGATCGGTGCATACTGCTACGCGGAGTTGGGTACAATGATAAAACTGAGTGGCGCAGACTACGCATACATCATGGAGACTTTTGGACCTTTTGCGGCCTTCATCCGTCTCTGGATAGAGTGCATGATAGTCCGGCCCTGCTCACAGGTAACTATAACTCACTAGCTGTTGCTCGCGACTATATCCGCGTGAATTTAACAAATACTCACAGATAAATAACCTTTCTAAAAGTGAAAGAATTTTTAAAATCTTCCCAGTAGTTTTTGAGTTATTTCAATACATACAAAAATATAATTCTTTCCTCTTTAATTAGTATAGATGTACTGTACACCTTGCTAGTATAGTTGTTTCAGTCAATAAGTGCCAGTGAGTTGAAACAGTCTATGACTGGCTTGTGCAACTGTCTTACTGTCTTAACCAAGTGTGGTCCAACCATTATACAGTAATGCAAATCTATACTCCACTTCCGCGACTAGCTGCAGTACCAAAATTATTAGTTGCAACTTCTCATAAACCCGTAATGGAAAATGGTTCTAAGGGGAAAGCGTCTACGACATGATTTGACAAAATTAATACATCGTCCTTTTCATTCTCATAAAGATTAAAAGAGATGGGTAAAGAGTGATACTAGGAACAACTATTTTATTCCAATAAAAGGCGATGTTTGATTAAACTCTATAAATAGAGATATTGACAGTAAATGGATTTCTTTTATTGTCTGATTCCATCGAGATATTGCCTTCTCCCAGGGTGGTCCTGTATTGAATGTAAAGAGAGGATTTAACTCTTTTTATAGGTTTGAATAAAGTTTGATTTGTTATTACGATATTACCATTCGTATAAAGTGCGTCGGTGGCTCAGTGGTTTAAGCACTTGACTTGTAATCTACAGGTCTTGGGTTCGAATCCCGCCATGTACCAATGTGATTTTCGATTTTTCGAATTTTCATATGTAAATGATTCCCTCGACATTTTTACGGTGAAGGAAAACGTGATGCAACCTGCACATATCGGCGAAGAAATTCAAAGATATGTGTGAAGTCAACCAACCCGCACTGAGCCAGCGTGGTTGACTTTTGCCTAGTCACCGCTAACTTAGGGTAGGCTCCGAGCCCCTCGGTGGGGACGTATAGTGAGCTGGTGATGATTCGTATAATACGTTTAAAAATAAAATTGGTAAAGGTTTTATAAAATGAAGATAAGTAACCTATCAATTACATTTATAACAGTGCTAATATATAGTGTTACGTCCTTGGTCTGTTAAAAACTCGTAGAAATGTAGATTTTAATTAAAAAAATACTGATATAAAAATGTTAAACCCTGAAATTATCTGTTTCAAAAATATCTAAGGTCCTATCACGATAACTTACGGAGTATTTGTAACGTAATCGATTTTGTATGAGACCAACGTTACGTCAGATAGCGGTGACCTTCAATGTCGTTATTTTCTCGCTTTTCGGCTCCCTATTCTACTTTCTTCAAATATATTTTATGCATTCATATTTGGAAAGTATAAATGTAGAGAACAACCAGAGTTGACTCTACGGGAGTATAATAAGGAGGAAGATGATGATGATGGTGGTGATGATGATGATGATGATGATGAAATGTTAATGATCTTACCAGGCAATAGTCGCACTGACGTTCAGTGTATACGTACTGAAGCCGATATTCCCGGAGTGCGACCCGCCAGAGGACGCTACTAGACTGTTAGCGGCGTGTTGCATATGTAAGTACCACACGACCACAATAACATGATACTTTCGAACTATGTTGTAAACATAACAAATAGAAACACCGTTGAACGGTTGACGCAATTCGTTTGTAAAGCTAAATACATTTTAAAATGCAAGATTTCACTACTTCACTAATAATGTAGCTCGCGACTTCGTTCGCGTAAAATATAGCTTATGTCACTCAGTGAAATCGTACCTTTTTGATGAAAGAATTTTTGAAATCGGCCCAGTAGTTTTTGAGTTACTTCAATACATATAAAAATTCAAAAATCCAAATCTTTCTTCTTAAAAAGTATTATTATGGAAATCACGTCATGTAACTTGTGCGTAGAAGCTTTGCTGGTCTATGACGTCACGTATTAAACATGAGGGGAGTCATAGTAAACATGCTACAAAATTCACTGGCATTTCTGTCTCAATCTCTCTTGCCGAGCCTTTATAAAGTTTGAATTGTATTATAGTACAGATTGGTTGAATTTTCTGTCAGTCTTATATGTGAGCCGAGCCTTTATAAAGTTTGAATTGCATTATACCTTGATTGAAAACTATTCCTTGTGTAATGTATAGTACTGCTGACGTTTGTAAACTGCTGGTCGGTGCGCGCGGCGACCCGCGTCCAAGATTGGTTCACTTACGCCAAGCTGCTTGCTCTCTTCATCATCATTGCTGCCGGTGTCTACCAGCTCTGCAGGGGTAAGTTAAGTCTAAGTTGTCTACTTAGAGCGTCCGCACACCTGAAATTAAACTATATTAAAAATTGTTGTCTCGATTTGATTCCTATGCGCTTATAGGTGGACACTACTCGATTTATAGGGCATCTAAATAGTTCAATTGGTTGCGAAATGAACAATCGTACAGTTGTGCGATAATTTAGTTAAAGATGTGCGTCCGCTCTAACTGGAAACAATTATCTATCTATACATGTAATAAAATTATGTATGTATCGAATGAAATAACATTTTTCTTAGACATAACAACCAATTTTTCAGGCCGCGTTTTTCTAAGCATATAGTAATATAGTGTTTTTCAAACTTAATGGTATATAGTTTCTCAAAAAACGTATAATAACAATAACAACCTAAAATTAGGTTACTCCAGTTGACTTGCCTAGTACCACCTACTAGATAATTCCGAGCGGTCGTAAACTTTGACTCTTTTAATAATAAACCTTTTAGACATCCTAAGTCTTTTTTCACTGACCGATTAGTCCCTGACGAATTTTATTAGCAATTAACCAATCTACAAGCAATTATACCACTTCTTTGTTGCCTAAGATGTCAGCAATTACAGCATATTTTGGAATCATTCTTTTCTTAATAAAAAGCCCTACACTTGCGTGACGCTTTAGGCTATATCTTTTAACGCCATTTAACTTAGGGGGTAAATATTTTGGATAAAAACCCTAATATGGGAATAAGACCATAAGTTGCTGCCAACATCAAGGAAACAAGGTTGCCATAGTAAGGTAATTTGTACTTTGACATTTGCAATTAAGAATTTGACTAATACAAATAATAAATTTATAATTTCATGCGGATGAAGTCGTACGGGAACAGCTAGTATTAAATAAATTAATGCTATAACTGATTAATCGGTTTATTGCCTCAAAAAAAAACGTGTAGAAATTATTATAATCAATACGAAATAAATGGGACAATAACCTGACAATTCGTGCTGCACTGTTCTCGTTACATAATATAATGTGATAAAAAGAAAAAAAAACGGTTTGTGCACTCTGGCTCATTTTGGACCGACTTCCCAAAAGAAGGTGGTATTCAATTCGTCTGTATATTTTTTTACCTGTTATATTGAATTTGAGAATAATCTTACTTCTTACTTCATACTAATATTATAAATGCGAAAGTTTAGATGGATGTTTGTTAGAGTTTGTAGCCTAAACGGCTCAACGAATTTCGATGAAATGGTATAGATGTAGAGGATAGCCTGGAAGAACACATACTCACTTTTGTTTTTATTCATTCCACGCGGAGTCGCGGGCGCAAACTACTAATCATATAAATAAATAAGTTTAACAATAGTAATAAAATTCCAATGTTAATAAAAATACTATTATCTCAATGTTAATTGATCATGGAATTTCTTTACAAATTATAGCCGGCAAAAATCTATTTTTTTAATATAAGGTGGCAAACGAGCAAGCGGCCACCTCAATCCACCGAAATGGAAAGCGACCGCTGCCCATAAACATCGGCAATTGCAGACGCGTTGCCTACCCTTCATTGACGGAGGAGACGCACATAAAGAGGACATTTCCCCTTCCTATGCGTCTCTTCCACCGTCAAATCCACTTTTCCTTCCAATCCTCTCCTCATAAGAAAATGTTGGAATAGGAAAGAGATTAAAATTAGGCCTCCGGCACCACACTCATCAGACGAAACACGGAATTGCTTCCACTTGACGCCTGTCTTCTATGTGGTCGTGGTATTACACCGGGCGAGCCGGCCTATTCGTGCGAAGATGTTAAACCTTGTTAAACTATAATAATCGTAAAAAAAATTACGATTAGTGTAATTTAACAAGAAACTAGACTAAATAAAATGTTCATATACAACTTTATAGTAAAAACTGCCTTTGGTAAGAACGTAGTAACCTTCTTTGACCTTCAATTCTTTATTTGAAGAGCTGTTTTTGTTCTCAATGTATATCTTTTAAATATTGACTTAATATATTGACTATTTTATGTAGGTCATACTGTATAATAACTGGTTTTAAAATCAGTTTTTTTTTAAAAACTTTTTTTTTTCAAGGAATTTTCAGTCCTATTTTGTCTGCAGAAGTAAATCCCTTTTAGATTTTTTTCCTATAAGATGGAAAAACCTCGTTAATGAAATGTCACCCACAGATGTCGCGGAAATCGTTTCCTTGAGGACACGAACCAATTTAAATCGCAAATAACTCCTTTATGCGTCCGCCATCGAGTGGCTTCATTATAAATCTAGCTTTGAACTACAGAATAAAAATAAAAATACAATCTATGCATCAGAAAGGTCGTATAGGTTATTTGTTTTGTGTAAAATTGTAATTGATGGTAGGGCAAGTGTTCAACATTGCCCCACCGAGACTATACCCGTCTTAGTTAGGTTATAACATCGTTTACTTGAACATTATGTAAATAAACTGACGCATGTAATGGTCAAATATTGTACAATAAATTGGTGGACGCATCAGCCGGCCGGACACTTGATTGTGGAGCATTTCACGGGAATATTAAATAATACGATGCAACCAGACCGCGCCGGATTGTCGCAATCATTCCATAAGGAATGAACGCCGACGCACTAAAGGTATCTACATACTGTTGCCGTGTTTATACTGAGCGTATAAAAACATTAATAGGCCACTTGTATTTATTAAAAAAAATTGACAATCGTATTTCAATACAAGAGTTATTTATGGCATTGGAATTAAGGTTATAAAATGACACTTTCAATTTCGAATGCGTTTCAAATAATTGTCCGCCATGTTGTGATGTCATAGCTGTCAAATTAAATTCGTCAGAATTTGTAAAAAACGTATTATACTTTCATAATTCACGATGATTTTTATTTAAATTGATAAATAGTTTATTGAATTCTAATGAATAATTTTTGTGATC